TAAGTTTTTTCACTTTCTTGTTTTATCTTTGCTTTTTGCAAACCTACTTATAGTATCTGCAACTTTTTATCTATTTAATTATGGCATTATCACATTTTCCGCACAAATTTAACACGACGGACTGCACGCACATTGACTGAGTTTGATTTATTATGGAGCGATTAAAACTAAAATGGAATTTTATGTATTGTCTTTTGAGAAATATGGATAATTGTTAACTTCATATTTTTTAATGATGTTAACTTTGATATTAAGTTTATAGTTATTGAAAAGAAATAAACACTCAATTAAAGTGAAAATAAAGGAATAGAAAATTTTTCTTGCACAAATTAAAATTGCTTGAAATAGAAGAAATTTTCAGTACTTTAGCAAAAAAAAGATACATATTTTATATAGCTTTATAATAAAGAAAATTTTGATAGCATATAAGATACTTCTTAAGATACTTTAGCGACATTTCTATTCGTATATTTCGGCAACATTGCCTTGATCAGTTGTAACTTCAAAAAACATATGACGATCCAATATAAAGAGAAATGCAGCTTTCAATTCTGCATGACATTTAAATCTAATTTATAGCTTCAACTATATCGCGAACTAATTTTCAGAAAACATAACTACAAATGGATTATTTATTATTTATAAAAATAATCTTAAGGCATACTGTTGATGCTTGCGAAGAGTCGCATTTGAAAATGGGAGAACAAGTGAGAAAGAGAGGGAGGGGGGAGGAGTGCATAAAGAGAAATACAGAGATGATGGGTAGAGAGAGTGGATTATGAGAAAGAGAAAAAGAAAAAAGGAGGGAGAAGAAGAGAAAGAGAAATTGAGAAAAGGGAAAAGGGAGAAAAGAGAAGAAAAGGGCAAATAGAAGGTGAGAAGGGGAGAGAACGAGGGAGAAAAGGAGAGAGAGAGTAGAGGAAAGAGAAAAGAAAGAGAGAAAAAAAGAGACAGGAAAGGAAAGAAAAGGGAGAGGAAAGAAGAGAGAGAATAGAATAGACAGAAAAGAAGAGAGAAAAAAGAAAAGAGAGAGAAAAGAAGCAAAAAGAAAATAGATAGAAAAGAAAAGAAGGAAAAAGAAAATAGAGAGAAAAGAAGGAAGAGAAATGGAGAAAAAGAAAAAGAGAGTGAGAAGAACAGGGAAAAAGGAGGCGAAAAAAGAAGAGAGACAGACAATAATATATGAGAAAAAAAAGGTTATTAAGTTTTTGATAAATATGATTTACAAGAAAATTTATGTAGGTAGAAATACAAATTCAAATAAAGTTTAAATAGTCTATTTTGTTATCGCACCGTGATGTGTACTTGGCTAAAGTGTAATAAAGTATGTTGCAATAAAAGAATTTTTCCACCTCTCTGAACAGAAAAGAAGAAAAAATTAATTAAATTAACAGCTCATTTACATAAGTGCATTAAAATCCTTTGAATTCTCCGGTTAAAAAGAGGTTACTTTTACTGTTACCCCATGAAGTGAAGACGGCAATGAGCATGCACCCCTTCTATGTAAGCTTTTTGTAATGTACAAAAGAAATGCTTTTAGCAAGTTTAAGAAAAACAAATTAGTTTAGGAAATACGTAATGTAAACAGACACAAGACTTAACCACAAAACACACACATTAACATTACAAAGCGAATGTTTAAGAAAAATAGCATGTCAGCAAGTAAATGAGCTTTAAGGAAATATCAAGTCTAAAGTATAAAGTTCAGCACAGGTTGACTTAAAACAATAAATGAAATGTACGTTTAGCTTAGAACATATATCTATAGTATATACCGCAAATGCACATAAACACCTTTGCAATCTAGGTTCATGCATTTATTTATGAACTACAAACGTTTCTTCTTCTTTTTGTTTTTGTTTTTTTTGTTTTTGGTTAAACAGTACGAACATGCAAACTCACACTTTAACTTTATTTTATGGAAGAATATGTTTTTCCATGCTTATGCCTTTATGTCATATCATAAACGTTTTCCTGAGGATAACAAGGATGTTTAGTAAAGCATTACATTTTGTTGGTGTTTCTATGGATGTATAGTTAAAGTATTTGTTTTTAGTATGCGTGCATACACAATTCCATCTAAATGTTTTTGTTGTCTTTGTTCTGTGCTCCCACAAGAGGTCGTTGTTGTGTCAAGTCAACTAAACT